AATTACTTCTCTGGAGCAGTTCCTATTTGCCAAACTAATACATAAATAATTTATTAAAAATATAAATAATAAATAATAAATAAAAAACGAAAACTGAGTTGCATTGATACTACCACATGAGCAAAGCGGCACATTAAAAAAAAATAGAACCAAAAGGGAAAACTCGTAATCTGATGTTACAAAAAACCGAAAAAAAAAATGAAATGATTGGTTTAAAAATTGATTAGCAAATAAATATAAACACAAAACGAAAAATAAAAGGTAAAGAACAATCTTCATACAAGAAATAGCAAAAGAAAAATAAATAAATAAATAAGTCTATGTAATTTTTTGGAATAGTTATTGAAAGGTGGAAAGATTTTTGAAATAGAAATAATTTATAATTTAGTAATATAATATATGGGGTGTAGGGAGAGAAAAAAAGACTCTCTATTATTAATTTCCCTTTTATAACAAAATTTAATTATATAATTAATTTTCTTGTTTTTTTCGTCATTTTATCTAAGGGTCCTTTTGTCATAAAGAATTTTTAATTTTAAAAGATTTGAAGAGTAAAAAGAAGTGTGTATAGAACCATCAGTTCACACTGGCCAAAGCTATATATGCACGTGTTCTTACGAATATTTATGACTGCAGTATATTTATTCAATCGGTTAGAGCCATGTCATTAACTGATTATACTTTAAAACGAATTTTGTGTAAATTTACTACCCAGTAATGATGATGGTAGACATTCGGAGTGATTAGAGTTAATGACAGAAATGCCTCTCATAATAACATTCTTATTTCCTTGTCTTATGAAATTCATTTATGGATAGTTATGGAAATGAAAATATCGAAAATGGATCCATATAAGTATACGTTCTTCATGTGACAAGTATGGTTTTTTTTTTTTCCCCTTTTCCTAAAAAAACTTGCTATGTCAAGAAAACAAATATTAGATTACACCATTACACCCTTAATTATTCGTTCTTAAAATAATGCACCTCATACTTTTAATTTTGATAAATTGCACTCTAAACTTTAGAATTAGTTATAATTAAAGTCCAATAGCAAATTTTGTTATCAAATTGACAGTTCAAAACATAAGATTTGCACATAATGTGGTTACAAAAATGACAAGTTTTACCTTTCATGTGTGATTTGTGAATCTCATATTTTAAACCGTCAATTTAATAACATTCGTTAACTATTAAATATTAATTACAATTTATTTTAAAATTCAAGATACAATTTGTCAAAATTGTGCATTATGCAAAAAACAAGTAACTTGGAGTGCAATAATATAATTTACTCTAAAATAAAACATAAAAGAATTTCTTAAAACAATTTTCTTCCATAAGCATTCTTATCGATAATATCAGTTTCTAATTATTAATTTTAATTAAAATCACAATGTATTAAAAAAATGTGTAAAATAAATAGTTTTTAATATACAAATCTAACCACTAAAAAGTAAAACATTATTTTTTTTTTGGTCCCATTGAATAGGTAAAAAATAAAGTGAACTTGCGCGCACAAGCAACTATTCCCTTCTCAAATACTAGTAGTATAGTACTACCACGATTTCTTTTTTCCTTTTGAAATTTGGACAACGAAAAATTGAGGTCGGTTATTATTATTATTATTAATTATTTCCTTTTATAAAGGGAAAGGAATGGTAGCTTGTGTGACCTTTGTCTTATTCTTCTCTGTTAAAAAATGTGACACTCAATTTTTAAAATTAGTGATTATTTAATTATCAACAGAAATTTTAACTTATTGGCTTCGTTTTCAATAATAATAATAATAATAATAACCAATAAAATCTCTTAATAAATACAATTAAAAGAATGTCAATATTCTGGGATCAAAATGGTAAAACCCGGAAATTAGGAAGTGGCAACATTTTTTCTTTCTTGCTAAGTAGGTGATGCAGTTTCTCTATTTATTAATTTATTTTTGTGTCCATGTGAATCCGTTTCATCGGTTACACCCATAAAAAAAAAAGCCTTTTTTTTAATGAAACTGAAAATTTAGTAATCACAAAAAATATCACTTCTTACCACGCGACTAATAAAAAAAGTAGAGAATCATGCCAAAATAGATTAACATAACAAATAAATAAAAGCACGAATAGTTAATATGTCGGCTACATAGTTCCTTTACAGAAAGTATAGTAAATAAAGCCACAACAAACTTAAACAAAAGACGTTTTTTAAAAAAATATAAGGGTTAATCTTATAAATAGTCTTTAACGTTTAGCATCAATCTCACTTCAATTTTTGACTTTTTAAACGTCGCATAGTTGATCTCTAAGATTTTATTAGATTTCAATTTCGGTCTTCTATTTGTTTAGTATTAAATATTTGACAGAATCCGTAAAAATTAATGAAGTATAATTAGAAACATATAAAGTTTAGAGGCTAAAACAATACAAAAAAACTAAAAGTTAATTTCCACAGATAGACCTAAAAGTTTAATTATTTTTAATTTTAGACTCTAATTTACAGAGATTCTATCAAATTTTAACGCCTAATTAATGGAATGACCAAAACTAAAATAAAATAAAACATCATGGACTATCTGTGCAACGTTTAAAAAGTAAAAGACTAAAATGAGATTGAGTGTCAGGGACCATTGTGGAATTAACCTAAAAGATAATAATGCTCTAAAAAAAAGGCTATCAAGAGAAAAGGATAGAATGCTTTTGCAGTTAATTTTTTTCCCTTATAATTACAAGTTTTTAAACATTAAATATGATCAAAATCAAATTTAAATATTTTTAAAAAGTTTATAAAAATTTGACGGTTAAAAAAATAAAATCTTATTAGTAATATATTTTTAGATATTACTGTAGAAATCTTTTTTTCTTTGTATTTGTGTTTGTAACAATGATAGTTCTTATCCGATTAGTTTAAGTTATTTATCAGTTTGCTTAGTATTTGGTTCTCTTTTTCGTCCGTTTTTTGTCCAGTCAGTTATGCTATGTGTTTCTCGATATCAGTTGATCAAATTTTTCTATCGACTATATATGATTTGTTAAAGAGCCATATGCGTACTCGATTTTTACGTGTATTTTGTTGGGTGATTTTCATTTATAGAGTTCGATACATACTTTTTTTTTTACGCTTCATTCGAATTTACTGATAGAATAGATTATCTATCGGTATCAAATTTATATAATAGGGATTTTTTGTGAGTGAATTTGTGTTTGTAATTCATTCTCGTGCTTTGAAATAAATTTATCCATTAATAAAAAAAAAAACAAGAAGAAGAAGCTAACACTGTTTACTCTATTTTTGTTCATTTCTTGGTTATATCCCACTTTAACTTTTGTATTTAATATTTTCATTAGAAATAATACATGTTGGTTAGTCGAAGTTCTAATATTAAAAAAGGAATAAATTAAGAGAAATAGTAGAAAATAAACTAATATAAAAAGTTTAAGAAAGTATATAGGTCAATTTTTAGTTATAGAAATTAATAGGCCATAACTTGTCAAGTTATGATTCATAACTAGATAAGTTATGGACAAACTTGTCAAGTTATAGTTCATAACCAGACAAGTTATGGATAAAAACCGTGAATTATTGACAATAATTTGTCAAATTATGGTTCATAACCAGACAAATTATGGACAAAAATAATAATTTAATCTATTTATTAACTTATGTAAACTATTAACTTATTAATTTTAATTCATCTCAAGTCTTAACATATTTCTCTCTTTCTCCCATTAATTAATTTCAACGGGCCTCTGTTTTGGAGTTGAGTGGAGAACCATGTACTATGGTGATCAATAAAAGGAAAGCAAGCATCCCTCCCTCAATTTTGAGTTTTTTTTTTTTGTTTTCTCTTTTCCTTATTATTATTATTATTATTATTATTTTTGTGGACAAAGCGTCTAAATTATAATGATTAATTAATCCTTGATTGTCAACAGCAAATCAGTTGCCGTGAATTTGAAAAAGAACACAACCACTATATATTCTGATATTACGAACGTGTGGGTTATTCTAGAACATAGGATAGGATACAAATATTTGAATAAAGAAAACAAGAAGAAACTATTTTAGTAGTCTCAATTACACAATTTAAGTAATCTCATTAAAGTTAGTTATTTTATGTGATACTCTTTTCTTTACGCATATTTTCAGCATCGGGGAAAAAAATCCCTAATCAAATACACAAATAGTTCTTTTTCCCTTTCTGGGTAGGAGCTTTGAGGAAAAAAAAAATAAAAAAAGTTTCATTGTGCAACTACGGGAACAATCGTGAAATTCTAGCCACCAAAAACAGAAAAAAAAAAAAAACAATTATATTATAATTAAAGAAATAATATTTTATAAAATTTTTGCATAAAAAGAACATGCAAATAATAATTTTAACAATTTATAAGGTAATATTAAAAGCATCACATCCTCATTAAATTAATATATATTATACCGTGATGTATTTACAATACATATACCGCCAATTTTGTGGGTTATGTAGAACAAAAATTCGTCTCATGATTCAATATCCGTTTATTTCGTTGATTTGAGTTTGTAATTTGAATTGAGATGTGATTTTATGTGAGAGTTTTTTACTGTAGTAAAAAAGTTAGATATAACTATTTTTGAGAAGTTTTTATTGTAACAAAATTTAAAATTTAAACTAAAATCGGTAAAGTAAACGAGGCATTAGATTATAATTTGTAACTTATTATAATATTTTTATTTTTTACAAAACATATATACAAATTAAAAATAATTTTAAATAATAATTATAAATTATAATTCTAAACTCATATTGAAAGTATTTTACAAACGCAAATAACTAATAAAATATTAATTAACTAGACTATAATGCAAAACAGCAGCAAAAAATAAAAAAAAAAGAAGACTATAATGCAAAAAAAAGAAAAAAAGAAAAAAGTACTTCCCTTCCCTCTTTCAAGTTTCTACTTCTATTTCACGAAAAAATAAAAGGAAATTCTACTCTCTCTCTCTCTCTCTCTCTCGCTCTGTATATGTATCTCTATTTCTGTTACCTTTCTCTCTCTAATTTCTCTTTACCTTGGTCATGCAGTTGAGCCAGACAATTTAACGAACATCTTACACACCCCTACTCTCTCTCTCTCTCTTACACACACACACACACACTACTCTCCACAAACTCATCTTCATCTCCGGCCAAGGCTGCCGATTTCAGAGCATGCTAAAACAAAAAAATCCCGCGAAATCCAAACAAAACACCCACTTCGCCGCCCGGCGATACATTCATTTCCCGCTAAAATAATGGACGAACCCCAAAACCCATAAATACAATGCACCATAAATACAAACCCATTACATTACTGGTCATTTCTTAACAATCATCACCACCACCACTTCCGATAATGGCTTCAGCTAATTCCACCCCCGGCGGCGACCCCTTCCCGTCGGTGGACGAGCTGGCGGCTAAGGCCGTGAACAAGCGCTACGAAGGCCTCGTGACCGTCCGAAAGAAGGCCATAAAGGGGAAAGGCGCTTGGTACTGGGCACACCTTGAGCCCATTCTCATCCGCAACCCGACCACCAACCACCCCAAGGCCGTCAAGCTCAAGTGCTCCCTCTGCGACGCCGTTTTCTCCGCCTCCAACCCCTCCCGAACCGCCACCGAGCACCTCAAGCGCGGCACGTGTCCCAACATCGCCTCCGTCCTCCGCCCCAACACCAACGCCAACGCCAATTCCCTCTCGCCTCTGCCGCTCTCCTCGCTGCCGTCTCCGTCGTCTCATAACCACCGGAAACGCCCCGCTGCTCAACTACAGGCGATGGCGGCGGCGGCGGCGGCGACGACGACTACGACTGCTTTGGAAGTTCATTCTCTCGCGATGATCGAGCCCGCGAGGTATTGCGGGGAGTTTGGTGGAGCGAGTCATACTGGATTATACCCACACCATAATCACAACCATAACCAGAACCACCATAATCATAACCAACTGGTGTTGTCCGGCGGGAAAGAGGATTTGGGGGCGCTGGCGATGCTTGAGAACAGCGTTAAGAAGCTGAAGAGTCCGAAGTCGCCTCCGGGGATGGTTCTGAGCAAGGACCAGATCGACTCGGCGATCGAATTGCTCGCCGAGTGGTTCTACGAGTCGTGCGGTTCGGTCTCGCTCTCCAGCCTCGAAAACCCTAAGTTCCGAGCCTTCCTCAACCATGTTGGCTTGCCGGCCGTTTCTCACCGTGAGTTAGCCGGTCCTCGCCTCGACGCCAAGTTCGACGAGGCCAAGGCCGAGTCGGAGGCGAGAATCGAGGACGCCATGTTCTTCCAGGTCGCCTCCAGTGGGTGGAAGAGCAACAGCTTCTTCTTCTGCGGCGGCGGGGAAGAGAATCTTGTTAAGTTCACTGTGAATCTTCCCAACCGGACGAGCGTTTTCCACAAGGCGGTATTCACCGGCGGACCAGTTTCGTCGAAATACGCTGAGGAGATTTTGTGGGATTCTGTTCTGGGAATATGTGGAAGTGGGAGTGCTAGTTCTGTTCAACGCTGTGTGGGGATAGTTGCAGACAAGTATAAGGCCAAGGCTTTGAAGAATCTGGAGATTCAGAATCACTGGATGGTGAATCTTTCGTGTCAGCTTCAGGGGTTCATCAGCTTGATCAAGGATTTCAACAAGGATTTTCCGCTCTTCAGAATCGTCACCGAGAATTGCCTCAAGGTTGCGAATTTTGTAAACGCAGAGTCTCAAGTGAGGAGTGTTTTTCAAAAGTACAAGATGCAGGAGCTCGAATGCTGCACCGGCCTGCTCCGAGCCCCTTCGATCAAGTGCGATACGTCAAAGAACTTTGCGCCGGTTTTCGCCATGCTGGAGGACTTGCTGAGCTGCTCCCGGGTGCTCCAGATGGTCGTTTTGGACGATTCGTGCAAGGCGGTTTTCGTGGAGGATCCGTTGGCTCGGGACGTCGCGAGGATGGTTCAGAGTGAGAGCTTTTGGAATGAATTGGAGGCGGTTTATTCGCTTGTGAAGATGATCAGAGGAATGGCTCAGGAGATTGAGGCTGAGAGGCCTTTGGTTGGGCAATGCTTACCTCTTTGGGAGGACTTAAGAACAAAAATTAAAGAATGGTGTGCTAAATGCAGCATAGCTCAAGAACCAGTTGAGAAAATCGTCGAAAACCGGTTCCGAAAAATGTACCACCCGGCAATGGCTGCTGCTTTTATACTAGACCCTCTTAACTTGATTAGGGACACAAGTGGGAAGTACCTCCCACCATTCAAATGCTTGACTCATGAACAAGAAAAGGATGTTGATAAGCTCATAACCAGGTTGGTCAGTAGAGAAGAAGCTCATATTGCCTTAATGGAGTTCATGAAATGGAGGTCAGAAGGATTAGACCCTCTTTACGCTCAAGCTGTACAGGTCAAACAGAGAGACCCCGTGACTGGAAAGATGAAAATTGCAAACCCCCAAAGCAGTAGACTTGTGTGGGAGACTTGCTTAAGCGAGTTTAAGTCATTGGGAAAGGTTGCCATTAGGCTTATCTTCCTGCAAGCAACCTCATGCGGGTTTAAGTGCAATTGGTCTTTCATGAAATGGATTTGTGTGCATAGACACTCGCGGGTAGGCCTAGAGAGAGCTCAGAAGATGATATTTGTGGCAGCTCATGCCAAGCTCGAAAGACGCGATCTATCCAACGAAGAAGAGAGAGATGCGGAGCTTTTCGCCAGTGCAGGCATCGATCACGACGACATGCTCAATGAGGTCTTTGCTGATGCACACTCAGTGTAATGTTTTCTTTTAAACTCATGTTGATTTTCTGTAACTTTTAGGATTTTTATTGATTTTTTTTCCCCTTCATTTCTCTTATTTTTTCTTACGTATAGCTAGAAATTTTGAGGAAATTATGGTTTGGCGAACGAACAATGTGAAGGAATTGAACAATGTATTACTTTACTAGAACAGGCTTGCTGCATTGGTTCAATGAATTCATTAATCTTCTGTTCAGAAATGACTATGGATTATTTCTTGGGTTTTTAGAGAGTACCTTTGTGGACTGTCATCTATCTTAAATAGTCCATGAACATAAGTTGATGGAGTTATGAAACTTTGTTAGAGTAATCTGCGAAATTAATTTAAGTTACTCCATGTTTAAATTTGTGGGTATCTGGTTGGATTAATGCTTCATTTTTTTTTCCTGGTCAATATCAATCAGTATCTTGTTTTGCTTTGTTCCCTGAGTTTGAATTAGTAAGCTCTGCCATTTTCAGTAATACCTTTCATGTTGCTTTGTAGATTTTAGCTTGCATTTTGCCTTCTTTTGTAGAAAAATATTTCACTCTACTCTATGCAACTGAGTCGCTTAATGGGATACCACAATGGCTCGGTACAGAATCAAAAAAGAAAAGAGAGAAGAAAGAAAAAAAGAAAAAAAAAAAACTAGATACTGTTGTACTCTTCTAAGGAAAAATTTTGTACCCATGGTTTTCTGGTTGAAGAATTATTAGTCATAATTATTGTAATATATGACTCTGCATGGAATTAATTATACTCAGATTGGTCTTAGTACTAACAACTGGTAACATGGTCACCTCAAAGCAAATTTTTAGATGGTACATGCTCAAATACACGTCAGTTTGATTAACCTATAGAACGGTGGTGAAAGAGAGAAAATATGAAAACATCAAAAGAAAATCAAAAGTAACTTGTGGAGCTGATATAAGTGATAATGGAGGTTTCAGTTAACATCATTAAAAAGGTTGTGGACGTTATTTTCATATAATATGTTATTCGTCGGGTAAAACACTGTAATTAATCACATGTCAACTTTTGTGCTTCTAAATCAAAGACGAATATTTACCATTTCAGATTACTTGAGCGCCTACCACCCATCCAAACTTTGCTGCTGCTCTATTTCTTAAAATAATTTTCTGGGGTTGTATTATCATTATTTCATAATTTAAGTTTCACTTAACCGAGGCAAAAAGTGTGGCTGCTTTAGTTTGAAATTCCCATCATGTTGACCTAGATCCTTTCTTTTCTTTACTTTTAGACAAATGGTAAGTCTATTATTTAACTGTGGCCCTGCTACGTGGACAATTGAGATTGTGCAAACTTTTCTGTTGGGCATGATTGAGGTTTAGATATGGGAGACGAGTTCCCAAGCAGTGAATCATATGCCCAATAGGCCTTGTCGACAAAAATAGTCAACTCTTGGGTGAGACACGTCCAGTTTTGGTTCTTTGCTATGTGTTTGAAGATTAGTGGAATATCATGTTGCAGAAAATTTGACATTTAGGTAGTTCAGCTGTGTCACAGTATCTTGCGGTCTAAGAATTAACAACTGGACGTGCACATATTTGCAACATGCAAAATAGTGCTGATATAAGTACAGTGTCTTAGAACTATAACTATATTTTGCACTTGCATGGCCTAACTATCTCCAAAAAAAAACAAAAAAAAAACAAAAAAAAAAACGTGTCTTAGAACTATAACTATATTTTGCACTTGCATGGCCTAACTATCTCAAAAAAAAAACAAAAAAAAAACAAAAAAAAAAAAACAACAACAACAACTTGTGCTGCATGTGCCTAGACCCTCCCCGTAAATATGTGTTCTCCACAGAGAGAAAACAAAAGCATAAAATTCGAATTCAATTAAGAGTGTGCATCACAACTGCAGAAAATCGGCTGATTTTTCTGATTCCTTATCATAAGACAATAACTTGCTGGTTGAAGATTGACTATACTACTAAAGCAAAATCTATACTCTATGTTGAAGATTGACTGGTGATAGGAACATATAAACACGTGGCAAGACTTTGTCTTTGGAATGGAATGGAACTTTATATGTTTTTGGTTGGATGCAGAATCTGTTTGGTTCCTTTGAGAATAGAAGTTGCAAAAGGACACAAAAGCGACTTTGGTTTGATTTCTTTTTTTTTTTTAACTCCCTTTTTTGTTGCAGAGGGTTTGCTTGAACTGGTTGGTGGATGGAAAACCAGACTTCGAGTCATCACATGGGTCAACCTCGGAAGAAGTCGAGCAAGAATCTTTGTAGCTGAAGAAGCATTCCTTGCTGATTTAATTCGGCATATCTCCTGGTGCGTGTGTCTGTTACAGAAAATTTGAGAGCCCCACCATGAGGAGAGGATGTCCATCTCAGATTTTTCGGTTGTCATGGTCAACAGAAAGTGAGGTGTGGGGACCTTTCTTCTCATCACTCTATATGTTTTTCTAAAATGGTTCCCTTGGCTTATGTCCCATCATCGTTGGTAGCTTGTCATCTAAAACATTCCAATATTTTTAATATCTTCTACAGTCAAACTGGACCCCTTCTACACATTTTTATAATTCTAACGTCGAAAATTGAAATTTTGCAGAGTTTATCAATTAGCCTTGCTATGATTGCTAAAAAGTCTTGAGCAGAGCTGAAGCAATAAGGCTTGTCGGCTCAAGGAGGCACATAAGATGGCTGAAAGGGATATTGCAACGGATTTGAACTGATCCTGCATGTACATTTCGGCGAGTAATGTTGACTAATTGTAACAGGTTGGTGGTTCTAGTGGTTGGTGGTTCAAAAGTTCTTTTGGAATTTGATGTAACAAGTGTTCGAAGCAAAAATCACACCATTGTTAATCTAATGCAATATCTTCCTTCTCTTCAGGCTTGGAATTAGTCGTGCAGGCTTGAAAAAGAACGTGATACAATCTGTGAGTGTAAGCCCATGCCTTGCCTTTTTATTAATAGCTTTAAAATGCAATAATTTCATTTAACTCTTGAATATCTTATTTCCTTTGCAGAATTCTGGATTGCTAGAGTTTCTAGAAAATAAGCTGAGACTTGGGAGCACAGTACGCAATGACTTACTGGTTGGTCATCATTTTTAATCCATATAGCGGCAAAGAGAAAGCTCCAAGTTTGGTAAATACTATCATACTTCGCGCTATTACACCTCAAAAGGTGATCTTATAGAGTTTTCAATAACCTAAATCCAATCATATCCGCTTATCATAAGATCCCTTTAAAAAAAGATAAAGTTAGATTTACCCACCTTCTATAGTCTCATCTATAATAGTATACTGATAAATATAAAGAGGGTATGGGACAAAAAACGTGAAAATAAATTAGGTTTTGTATTTGAAAGTTAGTTCTAATTTTACCTTTCATTTTTTGCCTTTTGCTACTGAATTGGGTGGAGGCATAGAGGATCCTGTCGGCAGGGCCAGGCAATACTGACTGCTTACCAACTCGAAAGGAAAACTTAAAAAAAATAAATAAAAATTTACACTTGTAGAGTATGCCTTCTTTGTTCAAACTCACTCATGTTCTTGTTAAAGAGAAAGTAGATATAATGATTAGTACAGGACAAGACTCTCTTTCTACGAGAATCTTGACACTTTCAATGCTACCCCATGATTAACCTTCTCTACATCATCCCGCTTTTCTTCCCACTTAATACCACTCTTGGTTGTTTTATGTATTATGAAGCCCATTCCATGTATTGGTTCTGAGAACATGATTTTGAAATGAATTGGTAATGTTCATTGCTACCATTCTCCTTCCTTCCTGTCTTTATTTATTTTTTCAACAGTTTCCCATTATGAGGAAACAACACCAATTTTTTTTGCCCTTTATGTTACAAGTTACTCATTATAAGTTGAGAATTTACCTTGTAAAAGCTGATAGAATTTAACTTTAATCATTGAAATGATTCGTATTGTGATATAGCCGTGATGGCAATAATTGGCTTGGAATTATCTTATATGTTTTATCATCCTCTGATCATTTTTCGTCATTTTCCAAAAACATTTATTTTTTGTTTTTTCCTTTAAAGAAAAACATAAGAGGAAAAGAAAAATTGACCTTTCTATACAGCTTAAAGTCCAATCTAAGCAGTCATTTAGGCTTTAGGTTGATCGATGTAATTAAGGCTGATGTTTTTGGTAGTTAAGATTTAGCATAAAATTCTGAAGTGATGAACATTTCTTGGTAAAGAAAACTGCAAATTATGCACATAAGTTATTCATGTTGGTTTGAGGATAGGTGTTAGCAAATAATGTTGATTGTACAGTTACTGATATACAATCATGACCCCTGAAACTACGTAGTGTGGTACTTTAGTTTTAAAATTAAGGAATCAATTTGGCACATTATTTAGGTCGTATTTTCTTGTAGTATTTGTTGTTTTGGTACCATTTGGACACATAATAAAAGGATCCCATGATCCACCCCAATAGTACAGGGGCTTTGATGTTTTTCACTTTCTGCAACGGGAAGACTGAAAAGCATGGGAGGAAAAGAAAATAAAGGTCAAATTTGACTTGAATTTCATTTCAAGTCTTGTTAATTACCTAGGTTTATAACCTATAACTTCTTGTTTGGCTCTTAATTATTATTATTATTATTATTATTTTTGGGGAAGCCTTGAATCCCAGTTCCAATGCAGCTGGGTATGCAATCATTTTTAGGAAAAGGTGGGAAAATATAATACTTATAGGTATTTTTTGCTACTTAAATAAGATATTTATATATTTACATCACTTGCTGCAAATCCAAGCATTTGTCTTTTTTAGTAAAAAGTTTCTGTCAAAAAAATATGTTCACTTTTCTCTTCACCGCACTATGAGCCCATCCAATGCATTATTAAAAGATTAATTTGCAATCTAGTCACTGCTTTGAGATTTTTGGGATGTATATTGGCTAGCTGGGTGACAATACACTATTTACATCACATGTTATTCTTCTTTTTTCAGGTGCATATTGGCCCTTTCCCTATGAACTTTGTTGAAAAAGTCATCAACCCCAGCAATTTTTTCCCACCAACCTCTTGCTTAATTGGAGAACTTTACGTAAGTGGCCCCTCTCTAACAGATTTAAGTTAGCAAAAAGGTGATTATTTTTTTCTTAGAAAAAAAAAGGTGACAAATTCATTAATGTATCATATACTTTTCGTATCCACAGTTCCACACACCCACAACTGTAATTGATTTATCAAACATGTTCACCCATGTTACCGTATAAAAGAAAATTTCTCTATTCTTGTCCCTTCATTTTCTTTACCAAAAATAAAGGTAATAAAAAGCTTAGAATTATGAGGGGAAAAAAAAAAGAGAATGAAATATGTCCCAATCAGAGGATTAATATTTAATTTTCAAATTCCTTTGACTTGTAAAATATTTGGATGGAGGATAGCAATGGATCCCTAGGCTGCAAAAACTAGTCCCAAATACAACCACCATTTACAAAATTATTACTAATCTTATGCATAAATGAGCTTTGTGTTGGAGTCAAATCCATCATGTTGTGCTGCCAATAAACGTCTCAAAGTTGGCCTTTGCTGTTTATTGTTTTTGTCATTAAGTTAAAATCCCACATACAGAAATAACAAAATAGCGCTCCTCTCAAAACTCCCCCCCATTATCTCATCTAATGGTCATGATACATTATCATTACAAAAACTAATTATACTCATCTTATATTCCTCAATCTCCATCATTACTTTCTGTACTATTAAATATAGCCACCTAAACATAATATTCTACTCAATTTGAATCAGAACAAGTTTTTTTTGTTGTTTTTTTTTTTATTTTCTCTCCTATTTAATAAATTGTTCTCTCTTCTATAGATCCACATTTAACGGTAACGCTATTATAGAAGACGGATGTCTTTTACAAATTTGACTTGTGCAAGACTCATTACGTATGCTTTTTTTGCTTGCTTAGTGGGGCTGATTTCCACAAAGGGCATAATTCCTTTTTTTTTTTTTTTTTTTTTTTTTTTTTTCAAATTTTATGTGTAGGTTTTCTTGTAAGGTCCGGAGTCTACACATGGCAAGCATATTAATGTGACCTACCATACAGCTTTTACCAGAAAAGCAAGGCTAATAATAATTGTTAGACATCTACTATTGTCTTTAAACATAAAGGGTGTCCCCACAAAGCAGTGCTCCTTCCTACGTTATGTGCCTGCTAATTCACCAGCATACAATCTAAGGTTCCTAGATATAGCATCTATGTTTACATCTATATAGTGTATCCTATGTAAATCTTTATGCCCATCTTGTGTTTCATATTCAATTTCGCAGGACAAAGAGCCGAACAGAATGTGGAAAAGGACTTTTACCTCACTTTGTCACAATCTCTTTTTGCGACAGAGGAAGTGTTGGTTGGGTAGTGTTCTTTCAATCTTTTTTTAGTTTTGACCTTTGGCATCTATTTCCTTCTTTTATATTATTTCACTTCGATTTAATGCAAAACAAGAGGCATTTTATTGAGAAAGTTGAAAGAAAGCGAGAGTTTTATTTGGGCTAGAATAAATGGCTGCTTGACTTTGATAGAGCAAGCAACGAGCCCAACAAGTATATCTACAAAGGACTAAGGAGTAGCCATGAGAGAAAAAGTTCCCCCTATTTGTTATTTAAAATAATAAATTAAAAAAAAAAAAGAATTTTGATCATTCAGAATTGTTCGATTATTTAGCGGATTATTTAGCGGTAGTCGGGTTCAGAATGTACCCATAATTCATCAGCCTTGATATATGGGCGTGGGAGTTATTTTCAAATGTTTTTGATTTCTAGGTTCGAGTTCTAGCAGACAGTAATTTTTTCTTTAAAAAAGCATTGTGACCGAGGAGAAAGAACGCAAAAAAAGTGCTGCACTTTTTTTTTTTTTTTTTTTCCTCTCTTTTATTGCATCATGTTGATTTTAGGCGAGAAAAAAAGAGATAAAACGAAGAAAAAGTGTAAAGATTCACGACTTTTTCTTCTGTTACAAATTACAATACTTCGGTTTTGATGTAGGGATTGGATATTTCTTAGCTTGTGATTTACACAGTTCAAGTTAACCTTGAAAGGAAATATACGACTTTACATTTAGAATCCACGCTACCAACACCATATCAATCAATTATTGACGTTACTTGACTCCATGAGCCCATTGTGTATCTGCTCGCCGATGTCCCTAACACGACCGGGGCCATGGGGTATGAATACAGTTGTATTCTTTAAGGAGTTGCCAAGGTCTTTAATGGTGTCAAAGTACCAAGTGACCGTTACGAGATCCATCACCTCCTTGGCCGAAATGCCTTTCACCTTGCGAGAGAAGTTAAACACGTTCTCTCTTGATTCATCGGTGATCGCTTGCCCCCTCTTCCTGCCGACACCAAGACCTCCTAAGAACTCGGAAGCAGCGTTAGCTTCCGCTCTTTTGATTTGGAGAATCTTCTCTGCTTCTCCTTTGTACACTCGCAAGATGGAGCCTTTGAGCTGTGGGACACGAGAAAGATTTTTAAGTACCGTGGAAATGCCGGTGGATAAGCTCAAAACTCTCGCTCCAGTCACGCCCGCTGAGGGGCACGACCACTTTAACCAGTTAATATAGACGTAATTTGCACATACATGTAACACGCATGCATACTGTATATCCAATAGTAAAGAGAGGAGAAACTATGTCCAGATAAAGAATGAGAATCGGGTATGATGCCAAACAATTAGTATGTTTCCTGAACCTTTTTGTTCGGCTCACACTTGAGATTTGGTTAAGGATCTAGTTGTAATAAGCTTTTAAGCTTAACATACTTTTGAGGTAAAAGCCAATAGTAACTTCTTGTTAGCAGACCCCAGAATTCATAGAGACGCACTGTTGTATGGAGTACATTACTACATTTATAAATTCAAATCCATAGTTTAAAAAAAAAAAAAAAAAAAAAGAACAAAAGGAAGCAAGCTAATTATGCATTTCACAGTGCACAGATGAATATTCTTCTGTGATGGAAATACTTAACATACTGGGTTGCGAGACACCAAGAAGAAAGCAAGGATTCAGTGAGCAAAGAAAATAGAATACAAATGTCAGCAAGACCGAATTATCGCTAAGATGGCACAAGTATTACATTATAATGCCTTCTGACAACAAAGTATGACTCATTTTCTTACGACTATATCCTTGTATACAGTACAACTTAGAGAAGCCAAAAAGATTATGCACGCTCTTTAGTTTACCGGTAGAGAAGTATCAGTATTCAAGCATTTGCTCTCCTCCTGAACACTGTTGCACTTGAACTTGCAAGTTGCAACATTTTCCTCATCTTGCTCTTAAAAAAAATAAGTGCATTAAAACTGATTCCTAAGCTACTTTTAAGCTACCAAGATATTAAGGCATTATTAACACTGCGGCACGTAAGTAAAACTCTGATGAAAAGCTCTTTAGTTTACCGGTAGAGAAGTATCAGTATTCAAGCATTTGCTCTCCTCATGAACACTGTTGCACTTGAACTTGCAAGTTGCAACATTTTCCTCATCTTGCTCTTAAAAAAAATAAGTGCATTAAAATTGAGTCCTAAGCTACTTTTAAGCTACCAAGATATTAAGGCATTATTAACACTGCGGCACGTAAGTAAAACTCTGATGAAAAGCCGCAGCATCAGAGACTGCTATGGTTTGCATGAAGCCATGAACGTGGCAAACATGTTGAGGCGTGTGTCAATCAGTTTGCTAGAATTCAATCCTAACTATAAGCAATATACCTAAATTAACTTGAACTAACGTTATTGTGTCTCCAATGCTAGAAAATAGGAGATTGAATTTGACCAAATCTAAAAATAATCGCAGAGAAATAGGTTTCTAGAAAGTGCAGTGTGAGAAATCTGCTTACAGCAATTAGCAAGAATACCACCGTTCTCCCCCTTTTCTCCAACAATAATGGCATTTTGCCATACTAAAAAAATGTATGAAAAATTCTTAGCCAAATTGCAGGGCTGGGAACGTGTATAAAATATACGAGAATTAGAATAAATGCAATTTAAAAGAAATGTTTATCTTATATAGGCAATGTACGCCAGAAGAAATTGGCTCCCAAAGAAAAGAAATGAAGACCGAAAATAGAAAGCATTCTAACAACCTAATGAACAGAAAAGCATGAGAAAAACACACAATAGTTGAGCAAGACTCTAGTCTACAAGCAAAAATTCCATCTTTAGTTTTATTTTTTCCAATTTTAAATTCTAAATTTTTGTAATTTCAAATTTTTAGTTGAATCTTTTGTCTGCTTTAGTATTTGCGTTAAAATTCCATCTTTCGTTCCAAGCCCTGCATTCTCATCTTTTCTCCGAGGCAGCGGGACGACATCAATGTTACCACAGTATCACTAATCGTCCACGACATTGGCAATCACTAAGCGTCCACGACATTGGCAACACCAATGAAGCGACCTGGTTCAAAAACATCGAAGCCTCAGGAAGCAACATCAATGAAGCGACCGAGTTCAAAAACATCGAAACCTCAGGAAAGAGCTTCTGCGAGGCAGTTGGAGAGCTTGGAATTAAACAGCCAATTCAGCTACACTAGCAACACCAACTAAACAAGGAATAAAATCAAATCAACACCAACAAAGCTCAACAACGCCGTTAAAACCGAGTTTGCCAACAGGTTGGCAACAACATTCCCACTGCAAGGAAGATGGCTGCAAATCGTGCCTCCAGTATCTTGGTTCATCAAGGTTTGATGCCATCAACAACAGCACCCGCATCTTCCAAAGATTCAGAAGAACGGACAGCTTGATGATGTAGGCTACATCAGATGCCACAAAAGACACTCTCAACCCACACCCGAAAGCAAATTCCAACCCTTCTCACTATGTGGAGGAAAAACTCCACGCAGTCGTTCAGAAAAACAAACCAAAACGACTCCACCAGCACTATAAGACAAGACTGGAAAGGATATATACAACTTTTAACATTCAGAATCCACGCTACTTTGAATACCATGTCTATCATTTATTTAAAACGTGCAGGCACGTACTGCAGTCTGCAAATAGCTCTTTACTAGAAAAATTCCTCTAACAACGAAATCCATATACCTATCCCGTAGTTCTTTCGTTGAATTCTAACGGCAAAGTAAAGAAACTATAACCCTATACAAATTCCGTCCCTAAATAGGCAAAAAAAAGAAAAAAATACTAGACATTATTGATGTTAGCACTGCTCGCCTCCATGAGCCCATTGCGTATCTGCTCGCCGATGTCCCTAACATGACCAGGACCATGGGGTATGAAAACAGTAGTGTTCTTTGAGGAGTTGCCAAGGTCTTTAATCGTGTCAAAGTACTGAGTGACCATTATGAGATCCATCACCTCCTTAGCCGAGGTGCCTTCCACCTTGTGAGAGAAGTTCAAGATGTTCTCTCTCAATCCATCAGTGATTGCTTGCCTCTGCCTGGCGACACCGAGACCTCCTAAGTACTTGGATTCAGCGTCCGCTTCCGCTCGTTTGATTAGGAGAATCTTCTCTGATTCTCCTTTGTATACACTTGCAAGTTGGAGCCTTTGAGCTGTGAGACACGAGAAAGACTAATAAGTAACATGGAAACTCCAGTGGATAAGCTTATAAATCTCGCTCCAGTCATGATGGCCAGGGGACATTGCCTTAAATGGTTAATATAGACATGATTTGCACACGCATGTAACTTTTCATCCAATAGTAAAGAGAGGAGAAACTATGTGCAGATAAAAACACCAGTATGAGAGATGAAAATAAGCACCTGCATTGATCTCGTTCATCGCCATCCGCACATGAGAATCGGGTATAATGTCAACCATTAGTATGTGTTCTATGTTATATCCATATGCCCCCATAACCTGACCAACAGTTACATGATATGTGAAAATCTCTAGACAATTCAAAGCGTGTAACATAAGTTGAAAAATGGAAAGCAGCAGGGGAAAAGGTTTGAACCAAAAACTCTACGAAACAAACAAGGGCTTGAGTTAACTAGACTGTACACAATTACAAAAACCATATTGATTACAAACTTGCAAAGTCGAGAACTTGGTAAGCTAAGAATGAAGACGATTACGGCAACGACATTGATTTCAAACTCATTCTACTTGACAACAATGTAACAATTAAATATTCAAACCAAGTAGCCAAGCATCTCTAATATACAATAAACAATCCAAACCTTATATTCTCACTCATTCATTTCACTTAAAAATCTTCAATGCTAGTGCGAACGAACTGGAACTTGAATTTTCTACACAATTCATCGAATTATTTACAAAAACCGAACTTGATCAAATCATTACTAAAATAAGGAGAAACTCTCAGATTACCTTCTCAAGTTCCTCCAAAACAGCTTTGGCAACCTCACCCTTCTGTTCAAATAGCTCATCCAGGGTCATCCTAGGGACAATTGCTCGAACAACTAAAACAAAGCAATCAAAAACATTATTGCACATGAAAAAAAGCCGAATTTGAATTCTACACAACCGAGAATTCACGTATTACCATCAAACACATAAGCCTGAATCTGCTCTTTAGGGTTCTGCAACTCGTAATACGCATCGTCGGCATTTTGCTTAAGAACGCGGTATTGAATTGAACATAATAATTGCACAAACACGTTATCCTGCAAAACGATCAAAAGATGTAAAAAAGAACCCCTAAAAATTCATTTTTTTTCTACGTTTTACCGTGCAGTTTTCTCGGAAACCAAACAGACGGGAAGTGGAGAGAAATTAGAGAGGAGACCTTGGTTTTGGTCTCGATTTTGACGTCGAGGGAGGAGATCCTGGTGGAGAGAAGGGCGACGAGGCATTCTCCGGCGAAGGGGTTGAAGAAGTGGAGGCCCGGCTCCGCCAACCTCGCGAAGCGGCCCCATCTCTCGACTATGCCCACGCTCGCCTGGTCCACGCACGTGCAAAGGAAACAGCACGAATTCCCCATCTCTCTCTCTCTCTCTCTCTCTTCTTTCTCTCTCTAGATTCTTTGTGTTTTCTGTTGTGCGACGATCTTTAGCATAATGAAGAGCGAAGGACAACGAAAATACGCGGCAGATCTTCTCAATGCCGCGTGTATACAGGGCTGCGGAAGAAAGGAGAAACTACGACTTTATTTTTTTATTTATTAAGATATTTTTATCTCCTAAAAAATTTGAATTTTAAATATCATAATTAAAAATTATGAATTGATTATAACTTTTAAACGGATAATTAAGGAAAGATAGGAATGATCATAGATTTGAAATTCAAATTTCAAAGCTCAAGATTCAATTGGATTAGAATAGATCAGAGTTAATTTTTGTATTAGAACTCCAATTACATAAATTGATTGCATCTAATTACATATAAACACGTACTTATAACTTGCACTTTGGAGAGTCCATGATAAATGTGGAATTAATTTCAGATTTTTATTAACTTCTGTAGAATTATTTTTTTAAAAAAATTAAATGTATATGATAGTTTATAATATTAAGATTCTATCATACCACTTAATTTTGCTATCATTTAAGAGAAATTTCTGCTTCACAAAA